GGGGGTGTCCCCCGCACGCACCACGGCTTTTTATGCTAAAGCTTCCTGGGTTTTGGTGCTCTCCCATCAAAAATGCCCATGAGGGCATCGTGCGGGATCTGCGCGGCTCAGCTTCGAAATCTCCACCCATTTCCTGTGCTCCTTTCCAGAGCACAGCACATCATCAGGGGGCTGTAATCAATAACTGTCCGTGGGAGTGAAAATCCGAAAGGAAAAGGGTTTTTTGCATTTCGCGTTTGACCTAGCACGGTGATGCTGCCAGTTGCTATGGAGGCATCCTAGGGGAGAGGGAGAAGCAGAAGCTCAGAAATTCCTTGATCGTGAAGTGTCTCTGCAATTACAATACAAAATAAAATGCATTTCAAGTATTATGCTTTCTCCAGATTTAAATGGATGAATATTTGTAGTGCTGGAGCGGTTGTGGGAAAATCCAGCTCCAAGAGGGTGGCTCATGGTAACACCACTGGTTTCCGTGTACTGCTGTGCACGGGTAATGCTATAGCCTGGCTCAGGATTTTGACCTGGACTCTGGCAGGGAGCACATTTTGCATTGCATGCCGAGTGTGCTTTACTTGAACTGTTGCTCTTCTTTCCTTTTCACCATTTCAATCAAACCAGAAAAGCAAAAGCCATTCTCTACCTCACTCTGGCACATTTTATTAATGTACATTAGAGTGGATAAATTTTCTGGTGTTCTACAATTGCTCAAAGCAGAATTTAACAATGTAGTATATAGCTACACTCATTTTCTTGTCAAAAAAAAAAAGTATGATCACAAAACCTCTCTCGTTTCTCTCTCAAGTGAATACAGAGGTTTGGTGAAACACACAGGAGGCTGCCACTGCGGAGCCGTCCGCTTTGAGGTCTGGGCTTCAGCAGATCTGCATGTTTTTAACTGCAAGTAAGTTGGTTTGGTTTTTTCCCCTATTCTCATAGATGACTGTAATCTCGTATGCTTTTCCAATCAATACCTCAGAGCTCCAAGAAGATGGCACAACTGCAGAACGTCCTCTGAGCTGTTTCCATAGGGTATCTCCCCAGTTATGTCCTGATGCAATATAGCATCAGTGCTGGTGATTTCCTATGCTGCTGCTTCAGGCAGGACTTAGGTCTCACATCCATGCTCACACAGAAAGTGTCAGGAGAGATCTAATGAGTGCAGCTGCCTAAAGCACATCAACCCTTTTTTTACTTGGTCTTCTCAAGTGAACACTAAATCTCTGACCACATGTGCTCCAAACTAAACGCTGTCTGGCTTCAGTAGTGATCTCCCTTTGCAGGCAACTAGTTTGCTTCTAGCTCATGGGTAAACTTCCAAACCTTACTTTCTTATCTGCAAAGGTAACTGATGTTGGTAAAACTGGCAAAGTCTGGTCTGAAAGAATAAATGGATTTCTCAGAGCTAGAGTTTGTCCTTTTTATGTCTGTTGAGAGTTGTATATGTGAAGAAAGGATGGCACATAATGTTTGGTGTAGAATACCTTATCACTGCCTGTGTAGGGTCAGCCTGTTCCATGGGTGTGCTCAGCCAAACACGACCAATACCAAGAGTCTACTCTTGCCGCTTACCTCGGCGATGCTAACCATTTTAGCTGTCAGTGGAATTCCTGGTGTCAAGAGGTCCGTGCTAGATCTGATCGCTGTTGCTGTACTACAACTTGTCCGCTGCTTCAAGAAAGGTCTGCTTTTTCCTTTACAGTTGCAGCATTTGCACAAAGAAGCAGAACAGACACTTCATTGTCCCAGCGTCGCATTTCAAGCTGCTGAAGGTAGAGTAAGAATGCAGTAAGAGCGTGGCCATGAACACACACAGAATAATCCAATGTCATCTCCAGAGATGCGAGTGGCAGCCAGTTTTCCAGTTTTCTATCCTAAGTTTGGCTATGGCTGGTTGGGGGAAATGGCTGAATTTTATGCTTTTGTGGTGTGGTTGTGTTAGTGCATCTTATTTAGTGAGCTGATGTTAGAGCTCTTGCAGTTCTCAGGCTTGACTGTTATGGACACGTGTGTATACAAAGCACAGGGTTCAGAAACAGCGTGAACACAGAACTCTCTATCTCACATAAAGATGTGAAGGTGGTATTTTAAATTTTACATTTCTTAGCTACAGGCCCATAGAAAGTAATTAATACATCTATTTATGTGGAAAACTTACACTGGTTTTCGTTTGCTTAGGGTGCTGATAATTTGACAACATACACCTTCAACACACGTCGTGCCCGGCACACATTCTGCAAGACCTGTGGTGTACAGAGCTTTTATACTCCTCGTTCTAACCCAGATGGTTATGGTAGGTAGAACAATAAGCTGTGGTAGCCAAAGTTAAGCACCAAGCAAAGCTTGGATAAAGACTCCACTGGATGCTAACGTGACAACAGTGAGCAGCACGTGTCTTAAGAGTTTGTTCCTGAAGTGCTAAACACCTGGAGCTGCAGTCTGAACCTGTAGCTCCTTCATAAGAAGGATGTGTGGGATTACACCACCTATGCGGTGTGGGATTCTCCATAAGACAGGTTTCTCACCTGGGCTCCTCAGCCTTACAGCAATACAGCTGAGCATTTCCCATTCCCTGAGATGCCCCATCCACGGAGCGATGCAGGCACCTTCCACGCTTTATCTCTGAAAACGGTCTTTCTGTACTCTGTCTTTCTTCAGGAATAGCTCCCCACTGTCTGGACGATGGCACCGTGCAGACCATTGTCACAGAGGACTTCAACGGCAAGGAATGGGAGAAGGCAGTGAAGGAGCACAAGACCATAAGAGACATGTCAAAGCTCTAACACAGCCTTCCAGCAGCTGGACTCGGAGCGCTGCCGTGGAGCTGGGTTTCCTGGGTGAGGGCTGGCAAAATCAGTCTCTACAGGATCGTTAATTTGTTCTCTGTTTCTTAAATAAATCTTTCTATGCTGCCTGTCCCATTCATTTGTGACTTTCAGTTTTCAAATGACCTCTGTTCCATAAACCACCCCAGCACTGCTAATTTTGGTACTTTGCCCTTAGCTGTGCTAAAGTTTAAATTACAATAAACAGAGCAAAGTACACAAAAAGATATCTAATCATTGCTTGTATGAATATTTCCTGTGTTTCAAGTCTGGCTTATAAAAATGTCCTATGTAAGATAAGCTCTGGCTTAGGACATAATACTAGCTTACACTGTTTTTTCTCCATTGACTTCAATGAATTGTTCATGGATTTAAAGTTAAAGGGGATTTGAAAGAGCTCACCAGGCTCAAGTTCAGTAAATCATTTCCACAGGTGCTTATCTGGGTGCAAGAGAGGGGCCACTGCAGTTATTCAGGTGATTAAGTACTGTTTTGCTTAGGCCTGGACTTACTCATGGTCTTACGGCTGAGTAGGCACATGCTCAGGCACTGACTCAAGGCCAGGGAACAGCGTTCCCTGAACACTGCTACACACTATCGTACTCCTACAACAACCAGCACGTACTGCAGTGCAACCAGGAACTCATTGGTTGTCTTCAGGAGGAGGATGTGCTCCTCAACAGATCAGGATCTGGCAATCTGTGCTCTGCAGTGACTGTAGATCCAGCAAAGATGCCTCCTGTAGATGTGAGCCCACACCAATGAGTGCAAAAGCCTACAGAAATGTTGAGTATTGCTGACTTTGCTCCACCATGACCCCACAGAAACCCAGATCACTACTACAATCTCTGTACAGGCCAAGAAATGAAACCACTGCAAGCTGCTTCACTTACCTTTCAACATAAAGGGAGAGGATCTTTAACTCTGGCACTTTTCTTTTACAGAAGTAGAACAGCTTTTGAGAGATCTCTTGCATTTTTTATCTCTGTATGTGTTCTGTAAAAGACCTAGTTACGGTCTGGGTCTCTTGCACCTCATTATGTCCTTTTGAGACTTGTGAGCTGTTCTTGAGCCCCATGTTCTGAAGCAAGAAGAAATGTTCATGTTTCATGACAGATGCTCTGCAAAGGTGGAGCCTGCAACACATTGTGTGTTAAAGAAGCAGCAGTAGCAGCAAACATCAGTGCAATTAGAGCAATTTCTATGAATTTTTATGTTTTATTCATAAGATTTGGCTTCTTCAAGTTCTGACTGAATAAGGTAGGTCTTGTGGTTCTGGTTTTAAGTGTGGAGATAGCATGATCTTTGAAAAGTTACTCCTGATGTCTGGATTTTACAAAAGCACCACGAGATAGTTGCCAAGCAGTCCTCGCAGCTATTTCCTCTTGGAGAAAAATAATTTGTGCCATATCTTCTGTAATGCGGAAGAATCCTGCATTTGACTCCTAATTAGGTTAATGCAAATTTTTTATCCTAGTTAAGCTTCTACAGTGAGGAAATAGAGTGGCTGTTAAACTCTGTTCATCTCAGTGTATCAGGCAACAACCTACTCAGAAGGAAGTTCATACAGTCTGTTCTTTGTAGTCTAGCAGAATGCTACACAAAGAGCATCCTGTCCTCTTGAGCACGTAGCAGGTGAGTTTTCTTTAGTCCTTGGCCTGACACAGTCTTTTTTTCATTCATTCTTTTACTCCTGAAGCTGTATGCAGCATCTCTTACAGAAGGCGGAGTGAGTTGATCACCATGTAACGTGAGAAAAGCATATAGATGTGGCGAAACCAGAGGAGCTGGCTGCAATGACACCGCATGGCTCTCTAGAAGGAAAAAGAGTTGAGAAAGCATTAAAAGAACCTTCCAGACCTAATGTGAGCGCAGTTCCCTGGGCCTCCTGTGAGGTTCACTGCCAATGTGTAGGACAGCCTGTGTGCAGTGAGCAGGGAAGAAGCCTGTCTGCCCCTGTGTCGCTGGTGGTGTATGGCCCCGTGTTCAGAGGAGTCCTGCTAGAAAGGACATTGTCGGCTGCAGGTTGGTGCCGTGACAGTTTCTTTACCACATACAACGCCTCCTCGCTATGTGATCTCATGCCTGGGTGTTGACATGCTGGGGAACTAGAAATCTGATAGGTGTGCATCTGAGAACACTTTGTATGCTGCTTCCGATCATACTCTGCCAGCTGAAACTTAACTTCATCTATTTATAGTGCTCCAGCTTAGAAAGGTCTGATTTCAGAAACAAAACACAAGAGAACAATGCCACCTTTATCAGAGCAGTTTCCATATGCAACTCTAGCTTTTAGCAGGCTCAAAAGCAGGAAAGTTCTGTGTACATCATTTGTGGATTAACGGGACTGTTTGCTGGGCAAATATGTACATCCTATGGAAAGGGAGCTAATCAGATTCTGATACAGGGAACTGTGGACTAAATGTGTTAGATCTCATGCAGCAAAATAGTTTAAAAAATACATAGTAGAGAAGGGAACCTGTAAAAAGCTTTGGACCACAAGTTCACAAGCTGTCTCTGTCTTTAGTCAGAGCTATGATTCAAGGACGCTGTTCCTGGCATGCAGTCATGCCATTCTCTGATGGGCTACTCACATGTTCAGAATATTATGTTGGATCCAGTCTTCTTTGAAATTCATCCTGCATCCTGGACACAGTGTATAACTTAGTGCACTGTGAGTACTGAAGATGTCTGAGCTGCAGATCTGCTCAGCCCTGTCCTGCTATTCACACAGCATGTGAAGCAACCTGTGCTGGCCATTCGTGTTTTACAAATCACTGAAGATTGTCCATTAGTGACATCTATAATCCATGTACATAATTACTGTAATTCTCTGTGAATATGACACTTCTGACTACAGCCTTCACAATGATGATGAACTACTCAAATAAGCTAAGCAGGTACCACACATCTCACCCTGGCTTGTTCAGTCTCCTCCTCTGTCAGTACGAAGAGCGCATCTCCGGGCAGGAGGCAGGAAAAGGGTACGTCCAGCAGGGAGAGGTATTTCCGCAAGAGATTTACTGATTCAAGCACGAGCACATGGCACCCTGGACAGAAAAAGAGGATAAATATTTCAAAACAACAGTATTATTGTTAGGTGTCCCCTCTCCAGGCTCAGGTCTTTGCAGGCTCCCCTGTACTGCTGGCCATGGGGATCCTTTCTGCGCCAAAGGGGAGCAACTGCTACTCATGCTTCCACCAGGATCTCTTTATGCCCAGTGTGTGTTTATGACCATGGCTCTGTATGTGGTATGTGAAAAGCAAAGCTAGCTCTGAATACCAGAGGGTTTGGGGTTTTTTTGATTATAATTTAAAATTATTCTTATGTAGTTAGAATCCAAGGCAAAAGCACAGGATGGCTCTCTGAATGCTGGCACTAGATCATATAATGGAGATTTAAAACAGCAGTCTTTGGTTTAGCTACAAAAATGACATTTCCTCTTTCTGCTCCAATTCTTAGCTACAGGAAAAATATTTACAAGATTGAGGAATGGCTATATCAAATATTAACTCAGGCAGGCAGTTACACTTTAACAGAGCTCCCGAATTCATCGCTCAGATGTATGTGATGAAGCAGATGAAGGTAAAGTATAAAGATTCCACTGGCATGGACTTTTTTTTCTGTTTTAAAGAGCCCCTTGAACTCAAAAGTTAATTGCTACTTTTTACCATGGCTAAATTGTCTTCACTGATGAGCTCAGAGCTACTGAGGGTCCCGTTAGGAGTCTGTAGCTCTCAAGAGAGCTGCTTTGGGATTTCTTAGGGCTTGGGGGCTGCTGTGATTGTGCTCCACACTTCAACACTGTACTGAAGCTTGACAGAAGAGGCCACAGTCACAGTTTACACAGGTGGTCAGATACACAATTAGATCTGCCGTGAGATTTTCTTCAGTGTGCCCTTAAACAGTGAAATTATACAAAGGAGACAAAAAACACTGCTGAATTGCTACAAAGGCTGCCTCATGGACCATTTCAGTGTGTGAAGCCTGTGCTCCCATGTCTTAATACTACTTAAACTGTTATGTCCTAAGCACAAAGTGAACTGGTGGTGCCCAAATACCTCTTGACTCTAAAATGGAGGCAAGACTTGTGTCTTCTAAGGGAGGACAGAAGGAGTAACTACGCGAGGTGGGTTTCTGTGAGCGAGGTGATGAAGCCTCTGCTAGGAGCCCTGTGTACAGATCTGCTAAGCAATCTCATCTCACAAGGATCTGAACTGTCAACCTGCTGCTGCCTTCCCTCCTTGGGACATCTGGTAGACCCTTCAGTCTAGCCTCTGTCAAGTATGAGACAGGAAAGCAAAACTTGACATCACCGGCACTTCCATCCAAACGCTGCCATCGGTCTGTGCTGTGCTGGGAACCGGAGGAAAAGCCCTCCTGAAGCTCAGGGACATTTGCTGCAGGCCCGGCCTGCCGGGAGGTGGCGGTGTCCGCCAGCTGCCGAGGGAGCCGGGACCCGCAGCCCTTCCCTGCCCAGCCCAGGATCGCTTTTGGCACCCCTCGCCTTGAAGGCCCTCCTGTCTTGTCTCAGCTATGTCGGTGCTGTACCGTGTCTCTCCTCCCGTGCTGCTGCAGCCTCAGCCATCCAACCCTTGCAGGGTCATCGCGCCCGTCCCTGCAGAGCAGCAGCTGTGCGATGCCATCTGGAAGGGCTGATGGAGTTGCCAAGCTCCCTGCAGCGAGTCTCCCCGGGACGTGCGGGAATGCAGGCAGCTGTGACCAGCGTGGCCTGTGCCACTTCCTGACGGCGAGGACGGCGAGCCTGAGCCCCCGTCTCACTCGTGGCCCACCTTGACAAGTGACGGGCAGAGCAGTTGCCGTTGAGCTGCCGCAAGGTTTCAGTTTGCTATTGCAAAGGATGCTCTGCAGTGACAAGCGTTGCACGTGGAAGCACCCTGACATTTCTTTCACTGTCACTAAACACATTTCTTGTTTCCAAGAGGCAAACTTGGAA